CAGGCGAGGTGTAGGGGGAACCAGACGACAAAGAGAGGCCAGAGGCCAACGAAATCACAGCCACCAGGGTCGTTTCGACCACAGTCTCCAGCAGGCAATTTCTGCCAGCTTATATATATATATATCTCTGGATCGACCAAGCTGCTCAGGAGAGCGTTGCCGTGCAGGTCCACCTGCCCAGTTTACCAGTGTTATTCCCCTGGTCTCCTGATTATGGGGTGTACTATATTAATACCATGACGTACGTATATTCTTTTTAGTTAGAAAGAGAGCGAGAGCGAGAGAGAGAGAGAGAGAGAGAGAGAGAGAGAGAGGGGGGGAGGGAGCCTTCCCCCAAACAACCTCGATTCTACATGATCAGGCACCCAGTCTCTGCTTCCAACTTATAAGACATCGGCTCCAGCCGCCTTTCGGACTGCGTGGACAGTAGGCAAGGTTTCGGCGATGGCCTGCACAGCATACTTGGCTGTCGCAAACCCAAAACCCAAACCCCTAAATTGCCCTTAACCCTAAACCACTCGGCTTCCAATTCGTCCAGAGCAACCTCCAGCTCCACGTCGCTCAAATCAAGCCGAGCCAAATCCAGATCAGGAGTTTCTCCAATCCTGGACACCGAAACACTGGAAATTGCTCCCCGATCACAGAACCGTTGCCTCCGAGCAACATGAAAGGAATAGGCAACGGAGTCATTGTGCGGCCGCTACATTGCTTCAGGTATCGCTCCCTTGCCGGATTGCTTACCTCGGTGCAGCATTACAAACTCGTGCGGGTGCGACGAATTATGAGACTCCTTCATTTGCAGCTGTGTGACGGGGGGCAGCTTTAGCAGTCCACTGCCGCTCTTTGAAAGTTGGAGAGCCGGGTCGGACTTTGTCAGCGTGCGCCCTCAGTGTTCCGAAATGCGTTCAGGGCCGAATCAGTTTCGGTGGTGTACCTTTCGGGTGATCTGCACTTCAGGCTGCCGGCGTAGTGATGGCTGCCTCGACAAGGTGGTACTGTACGGGATCGCTCCAGAGGAGGCCTGACTGTGCCGCAATGGACAAGACAGAAGTGTCATCTTTCATGCTGTGAATTTCTACAGTACAGGCAGCATGCAAAACTCTGCCTTGCCGCTAGATCCACCAGGTGTTCTGCTCCTGGAGGCACGCACTGGTGGATTGTTCGTCCAAGCTTCGGACTTGTCTCCGTAGCCCGCGGTGTTCAGTGAGTGCAACATGCTGATACTCGGCTTGAGGCCTGCCACCGCCATGACGCCTCGTTCCAAACCAGGAAAGCAACCACGCAAACATGCACTCGAACGCACAACACCAAAAGCTTCATCTCTGGAGTTTTAGAGCGGGAAGGCTCTGCTGATTTGCCAATGTCTTGCCAAGCGGCAGAGGCAGCGTGTTCCATGCATCCTGCATGCAGACAGGTGTGTGTTGCGGCTTTCTACGGTTGCGACCCGGCCCGCTGGTGGGCAAGCAGGCCGCCTTGATTTATTGGTCTTACGACTTATGACTGTCGGAAGGCTTGGGAAGACTCTGGCCCGGGGCCGGGGCTCAGGAATAGCTATATAATTGCAGTTGTAATTAGCTTGCTGTGTTTCGTCCTTGTGATATTCATACCAGAAGTCCTTGGGCAAATCGCAATGCTGTTCGATGGAAGCCGGAGCTGAGAAGTAGAAACTTGACCAGCCAAGTCTCCACCACCCTCACTCGGTGCTCAAAGGAGTGTTCGCGCGGAGTTTCTCGAAAAGATCCTGCAAGCCACGGGCCTTTGCCCACGACAACTCAAAAGAAAGGGCTCTGAGCCTCTGAGCGAGCTCTGTTACGTCTACGCTTTATCCGGGTTCTACTGTAAAGCTCAGTAGGGCTCCCGGGTTCTACAAAACACTGGACCTCCCCAAGCATCTCTCATCATCTCTCGTCTCTCTCGCAATCTCCGTCATTTGCCCGCTCGTAGCGCGATACCCAGCTGCTGACCTCGGCTCTGAACGGCAAACGGCTCAGCAACGGCTGAAGAATCTGCCAGACGAGGCAAGACGGAAAAGGTAGTATAGTTTTAGTACAGTATTAGTATAGTATAGTATTATAGTATAGTATAGAAGAGTAGAGTAGAGTATAGTATAGTACAGTAGTACGGTACTGGATACTATGCTATAGCGGCTATAGCGCAGCCTTTCGGTGATTGCTCTTCCTTCCCTTTCGCACCCACACTGCGACACGCCTGCTTCTGCATCTCCCGGCAGCCAACGGAGACCTCTGCGAGGTAGGAAGCCTGAATGATCTCGGAAAGTCAGCCCGGCCAGCACATGAAGCAACATCAAGTGCTGCAATGAAGCCCATTCTTTGAACCGGTTTTTCGGTGTGGGGAGATATCCGCCATCAGCCGCGGGGAGTTTCTTTTTCTCCACCGTCACCGTGTGGGCAATCACCTGATTCGAACTAAACTAGGAATCCGAAAACCGAGTGCAAGGACTCCCGACATGTTGGGCAGCGTTTTCGAGAGAATGCCATGCCAAAGCACTGCCGCAAGCTCCTCCGTCATGATCAAGACCCGACAGTCACTTACCGCTGCCGTCTCATCAGGATCCGGAAGCTGCAGAACCTTTTCATACGGCAAAGCGATGGGCTCTCTCTCCCTCAGGCTGGGACGGGGCTCTCTCAGTGCCTTTGCGCCCAGCCTGTGTGATCAGCTTGAGCTCTGCGCGGGCAGGTACCACAACGTCCCCCGTCAGGACGCTTCTCGTCCACCTTAAGCAGCACACGCTTGGAGCTGGGCGGGGCAGGGCCGGGCAGGGTGAGGGGGAAGGAGGTTCTGGGGATCCGTTGGACCGCTGTGCTTCAAGCTGCATTTTCACAATGAAAGTTCCCAGAGCAATCATGCGCCGTCGCTCCAAAAAGTCGATGACTTCACCATCCTCGAGACAAGCTCGTGCGACAGGTCATGGGGCAGCAGAGCACAAGCTTGACCGAGTCTTTGCGAGGCTCTGTGTTTGGCACTGGTTGGGTCAAATCCACCGACACACGCCGCGATCTAAGAACGCCTCCCAGGGCCAGAAAGGCAAATAACTCGCAGCTGATCTCAACGCAACTTCGGCCTGCCGCAAAGCTGGGGCTCACCGTCCGACTCATACTGGTAGCATGACTTTTGGTCCCCGGGCTTTGGCCGTGGCTGCCAGTCAAATCTGACAGGGCTGTCTGTGCACCAATCGCATGCACAAGGGTAGTTTTCCAAATTAGGGTCCCGTTTAGAGTCCTTTCTATAAGGGTGACGTACTATTTGGGGGACCTAAAGCGGGACTCTAATTTAGAGAGTGACCCACAAACGAAGCCGCAAAAACAGGCTCCGGCAAGCATTAGGCCTGCGTCGTTCGAAAACAGATCACTCTCGAGCTCCAGTGACTGTCCTCTCATCAAGCACCAGCAGCATGACGACAAGTTGGCTTTGATTCTGGTACACAAGTAGCACCTCGAGCCACATGAAACCTTACTGTAAACCATCTTAAACCAAGCTTTGCTTCACTGACCGGGTTCAATCCGGTGCATGCTCTTGCGGCAGTGTCCTGCTGCCTCACCCCACAGAAGCGGCAGACCAGAGTCTTCATCTTCCTGTTTTGGCATATCTGCATCCATCGGTGCATCGTCTCCTCTGCATCACACTACGTGCCGCAAATCATGATGTCGAGATATATAATGGGCGCAGACTTTAACCGGGACGCCTCCTGCGACTCCTGGGTATTCATTCATTAAGAAGAACTCGGCATCAGATTCATCGAACGGGTGCTGCGAATTCTGACGAACTTCGTCGCCTGACATGGCATGACTTGGCCCGTCACAATCCAAGACTCTACCACCTAGGCTGCAGCCAAGAGTCGAACGGCAAGGATTCGTGAAAGTCCCTTGCGCAGGCGTCGCTCAGAGTGCTCCGGCTGGGAGGTCTTATTCGGACTCCTGGCACATCCCAGGCTCTGACTTCGCACGAACACAGAGAGCGCCTGCCTCGGATAGGAGCCGGCAAGTAAGATCCTCAGCAGAGCTTGCTCTCCAAACTACTTGGTTTCGTGGGCCCACTCGAGAGGGTTACCAGAGCCAGATGGAGTCCAAGTGTCGCTAGCTCTTTCCGCTGTTTGAGCCAGCTTGCCGCCATGACCGTGCCCAAGGACAACGGCAACGAGCGGAGGCTGCATTGGTAGTGTGCCAGCTATCACTTGCACAATGCATTGCGTGTACCAAGAAGACAATTTGGGCGATGCTCAGCTCCAGGCAGTTTACAAATTGGCGAACAAGGACGTCGAGTTAGTAGCAGTCCCCGGTTGCTCCGTGTTCAGCCTTCCACCATGTCTTCGCGCTGATGACCCTTTACTTTTCCACTTGCATGCGGCACAGAAGAGCCGATCATATCCAGGGTGTTGCAAGTTGCGAAGGGACTTCTGCTCTGGGTCGAACCAGGGGCCCTGAAGTAGGATTAATAAACGAGATCATCAGGCTACGTGCCAAGGCAACACCAACTCTAGTCTAGTCGACTCTAATCACTGATTTAATAAATTTGACTCTAAAACATCGCACCTGAAGAGTCTCATTTGGAGCACAAAGCCCTGAACTCCCATCACCTAACTCCCCAGTCGAGGCTGCGCCACCCCCGAGTCGACAGCATGAGGACCTGCTGGTCTTAAGCTGACCCTCATCAACTATGAATGACCAGCTCGGCCTTACATGTACAGATGATCACTGCTCCTGACGGCCCCTTCTATTGCGATATGTTTCGATCATGCGTCATGTGACAATGAAGCGTCTCGAGACCCATCAATGGCAGGTGTCTTGCCAAATGTTGGAGCTCGCTTGCCAAGGTCAACCCTTGATGGCTGACAGATGCAACTATCTACAGTTTCTGTACAAGCTGTACATTTTTATGCGGGCACACATAAGCACTACATTCACTACATCCTCTGGCAAACAGAAGTTGCAGACATCTCTAGTCTTGGGCTTCAAGCGTCTTGATGTGCCCACCCCCACAGGCACAACACATCCGGCCAGCGCGAAATGATGCAGTGTCCCAATCTCCTCAGGCCGTGCAGCAGCAGCGGGCAGCGGAAGATAGATTATGCAGTGACAGCGTGCAGTGGTGCAGCCTTACTTTGTTGACTGCTTGTCTGAACAAGTTGCCACATTCTGGAGCTGTGCGCTCGTCGTAATAATCACAGTGGTGGCCCTGAGCATCATGTTCATCGCCTGTCTCAGCATAAGTAGAGAGCCTGCGCATGCCAGAGATGCCCAGCCCAGCCTTCGGTGTTTACACAGGGAGGCTTGCAGCAGGTTGCCACATCGGAGCCAATGATGCCTGGAGGACACACTGCAGGCGGCAAGAGTTACGAGAGCATGAAGTTCGTGCAACAGCCTGCTGCACCAAATTTCTTCTGATGGCCATCTGGGCAATGAAAGATGTCACAAGCATCCGTCTTTGCGAAGACTTTCCTTGCACAATTGTCTGCAGCCAGTGGTCCCGACGGTCCCGCTGTTTCCAGCACATGATGTCACTGGAAGTCAACTATCTTGTAAGCTAAGCCGGGGGGCAACACTTTCAGCTTGTCACTAAGTTCCGCCCGTTTCTGAGGGTGCACCTGATGCAAGCAAGTCATTGCGCCCTAGTGAGGAAAGCCCGCAATGACACACAGGGCTGGACCAAAACACATCCCGGATGCCTTGCCCTCCAAAATCTTCATCACGCGAACTATTTCGTCTGCCGCATAGTTGAGTCCCTGAGCCAGGCTCTTTTCCATGATCTTCGTATACCTTTCTGACACATCAAGCTCGCTGTCACGTTTCCCACGGTCTCCTCCTATGCTCGCCCGCTCAAACAGCCATTATTGACTAGCTTTGTGCAAACAGGGCTGCATGGGCGCTTTGGCATCGTTTCGGTACTTTTGCTCAAGCTCCCGTGCTCGTTCCACGTGTCTGGCGACGGCAGGTTCGGCTCGGGGCAGGGAGCAGAAAAGAAGATTCGCTGGGCCGGTAACCCTACAAACCCTAATACGCATATTCAGTGCCTCGCACTGGCATCTTTGAGGAAATCGTTGACGATATCGTCCAGCTCATCGATTGAATCGATCGACGGCATAGAGATCCCACGCGAGCGACTGAGCAGTGGTGCAACAGGCCCATGGGCTGCAGTGCACAAGCCGCGATAGTCGTAACAGCTACGTAATACGAACAGGCACAGCTGTCCATGACAAACTGCTTGTGACACTGACAGTCACCGGCTTGAGATTGGCAGAGCATGTCGAGGCACAGCCATTTGATCATGTTGGCTGCTTGAACTGCATCCACATATCGCATTGCATCATTCGTGCCTTCCTCAGACGCATGTATAGCGAAGCTCCGGCCCCGGGCCACGCACCAAACGCTGCCAAGAGTCGACAAAAAGGAAAAAGGCTGGGAAGTCCTCCAAGGTGAGGTTGAACTTCTCACGGACCTCAGCCACCCCCCCCAGCATTCACAGGCCCAGTCCCAGTTTCTCCTTAAAACATGGCTCATAAAGAGACGAGAGCAGCGGTCAGCCTGGCCACGTCGTCATTCTCTTTCTGGTTGAAGCGCTGAACAGGAACTTCAGCAGCAAAGAAGTTTGGAACTGCATAGGCCAACTGGCAAATTGCTCTCCAGGCGTCGGCTTTCCTGGGATCAACTAACTAGGGCCTCTCTCTGGTTCGGAAGCCGGAGCTGCGACAAAACGGACACACGTGCGAGTTGCGACATGTAAGGATGCTCTGGCCAAGCATCTCACCTCACTTTGCTCGCTCCAGAGACTGTCGTAGCAGTACAAGTAGCATTGCTGAAATGATTTTGCTTCCTTCAGGCAAGGAGCCGTAACCGTATGGCTCATCAATCCTGGCCCAGCAGGGCATGCGGAAGTGAGCGGATGATATGGCAAAACACAGAGACGCGGCTCTTGTAGATTGCCGTATCAGTCTCGTGTTGTCGCATGCCGCCTAGTCGTGCGATTGGCTTGTGCAGGCAGGAGGCTTGACGAAATAGCTCTGACCAGGTACAGCCAGCATCTTGTCCATTGTAATGGAATCCAGCTTCAAGCAGCCATGGGTCAAGCCATGTGCTACACCTGCAGGGCGACAGGGCAGGTAGCTCGGTGCTGCACTTGCCCTCCTGTCGCTCCTTGCCTAGTGCCAGTGTCGCAAAAACCTTGGACATGCCAACTACTTCTGCGAAGCTGCGCCAGTTCCGGTCCACCAGGTCATAGCGCTTTGATCCACAAGCTTTCGAGCAGGCTTCAGTCGACTTAAGCCCCTATGAGTAGGCTGCAATCCGGCACCCCGAAACCCTTCACACTGTGCGTGGAGCCAGCTCCTCAGAGACCCTCGCTGAGCCTCGAAGCTTCTTGAGTCAGGGAAGAACTACAGCTCGAGCCCGTCCGCAGGCGACAGGTAGAAGCTTTCGGCTAACTGCCTTTACATGCGCATCTCCGGCCGCATGTGAGCACGTGCTGATGTTGATATGTGGATGATTTCTGCCTGCGTGCAGCATGTCAGGAAACGAGCGTCTAGGATGTCGCTGCCGGTTGACAAATCCGCTCCCAGTTTGCAAGCCGTTTGTCACTGTGCCCACGATGGATGCCCGTGCTGGAACATGAGACAGTACTGTACCCTGCCTACCCTCAAGCAGATGGCAAACCACCCCTTAAGCGTAAACCCTGAAACCCTTACACTGACCCTTACGCCTGAACCCGACAGAACGGCCGCGGCCAACCGGTGCAACGCCTGGAAGGGATGCTGCGACACGCAGGACGGTCGCAGGATGCAAAGCTGCTGCGATTCAAAGGCCGCAGAAGCAGCAAAGAATCAAGACCTTTCTTGTACTCATCGGCGACTGGATGGCCACATTCAGACAGATCGCCTCGAACTTAAACCGAACATTCCAAACACTCGCGATCCAGTCGCTGGTTGAAAGGCCCGCTTGCAGTAGAATGAAGTACAGGTTTGCTTTGTGGTGTTGAAAACCACGTGAGGCATCTCAGTGACCGTCATATCTGCAATGCAGGGCCTGCTCTCAAATGCGGCTCGCACTGCTGATGCGCGGCACATGCAACAAGCCTGGTTGGAAGGCTCTCAACCCTGCAGCCTGGTGGCACTTGACCACTTGGAGATGGAAGCTGTACGGAAAATCAGTATAAGAAAGCTTCATCAAGGTACTGGAGTTGCGCCACGCAGATCCACTCTGAAAGAAGGTGCCTGCTGCAGGGTTTGAATACCTGCATTGAACAATTCGGAAAATTGCAGGGGGTCGCCTGCAGCCGGGTAACATGCTACAAGCTAGCATGTGACAGCCAGCGGCCAACCCGTGGCATCCCTCAAAGGTTCTGGGCGAAGTAATGCTACGAATCTATGTACTACCAAGTGGGCATGGAGGTAAGCTCCCGAAGAACTTGGCTAGCTTGAATTCAGGGACCTGTTATCCCTGTCTGCCATGTTGTGCACTTCTGAGCATGGTGAATCCTCGGACTCTCTCTTTACGTCCTTACACCGATATCAATGCCATTCAGCATGCAACTACACTGCCAGCTACGATTTCCGGCATTCCTTGAGCTGGCCTCGACAAGAGAAGAGGCCAAGAGTCACGAGGTTTCGATTCAGGGCTCGCGCCAAGCGGGGGACTCAAAACAACAAACTTCCGGCACGTCCTGTTCCACAACTAGGACGGCACAGGACGCGCTAGCAGGGCAGCTTCGCAAACATCGCTGGCAACAAATGGCCAGTTCAAGGGTGTCGGCGTCAGCGATGACAGGAAAACCTGTTTGCAGCCTGCAATGCCGAAAGTCCATAGGTCCGATTGCTGGCATGGAGAAAGAAATTAAAGTCTCTGCACGATGAATGGTTGGGAATAGTTCGTTATCCCATCACCATTACGGCAGCATCTGTACAAATGCAAATATACAAACATTGAATACATTCTTGGGCGTGTCACTCACTTCAGTGCCATCTGCTGGGTTCCGAGAATGGCATTGCATTCCGAGATAGCTTCTGCGACGAAAGGTACGATCCGGAAAGACTGATACCGGATAAGCCCAGCAGTGTGACTGTGGAACAGGCCAGCGCTTGGCTTGGTCAGACAGCCGTCCACGTAAAGGGCGTGCAAAGCTCTGCGACAAGCAAAGCTTCACCGCGATTGTGCTAATGACGCCTCGCACGAGCCCTGCGGTCTCAAAAGGGCATCGCTTGCAGAACAAAACACACCAAAAAAAAAGCACAACGGATTCCCGCTGACTCGTACGAGAACCAAGCCGAATCGGTGTACTTTACATCGTGGATGTATAATAGCCAAGTGGCCTGCGGCTCACTGTCGGACCTGAGCAACGACGGCCGGCTGCCAAGCCAAGGCATCGAAACCCTAAGCACAAGAGCTCCGTGGATTGCTGTGGCAAGCGTTGCTGCATGGGAGATCGCGGAGCCAGGTGAACATGCCTTGTGTGTAATCCTCATTTCGCCCAAGCATTGTGCAAGTTCGTTTCCAGCTGGCGAGCTGAGAGGAGCATAGATGCCGCACTTTTGCAATTGGAATCCCCTGATCGCCCCCAAGCCTCCAATAATTTGGAATGCCATAGTGGAATGGGTCTGGCCCTCCGCACAGGAAGGGGGGGGTGGCAACGGCTGCGAAACGGTTGGAAGCTCGCCATCTCTGACAAGGAAGCAACATGGTCGTAAGCGTGTGTGCAATCTGTGAATTCCATCATGCTCCGTTCTTGAATCAACTGAGTGCCGCACACTAGCTGGCACGGCTTGCAGAGACATTCGATTGAATGGCTTTCCAGCCCACTGTGCGTATGGAGCTGATTTTGCAGAACGGAATCCTGGAACGACTAAATCCGACTAAAGAGGAAAACGAAGTACGACACGAAACAGATCGCACAAACAGCAGTGGTTCTGCTGCTGTAGATCTGCGCCGTCAACTGCCTGCACACGAAGGTTCTGTCAAATCTGGCAAATGTGGCTCAAAAAGAAGCACAAGTGTGACGGCCAGCCAGCTTGCTGCCTTCGATCAAGCGCACGAAGTCGGCACCTCCGTCGTGTAGTGTAGAAGCTCTGCGTAAATTGTTGATACTTTCGTGCCCTGAGGAGCATGCAGGAGCTCTTGTCATACCTCGGCCACAGACCCGGTGCAGCACATTGGCCTTCTATGAAGGTGCAAGTCGACAGGCGAGAACGCACAGTGCCAGTCCCAAGAAGGCACTTGGGGTGAGGGGGGAAGGGCGGGGAAGGAGTGGTTCACGGAGGGGCTTCATCCTCTGTTCGAAAGCATCTCGGGCAAGGGATACTTTTTGATACATCAGACCCTTATGAGGAGGGATGGACGTAACTGCCCGCCCAAGAACTTGTTTGCGCATTCCTCAACACGGAGGTTGCAAGCTCCTTAGCCTTCTTCCTCGCGTATCCTGCCGCATTCGACTTTGCATCGCGACATTTCCGTGGGGTTGGTCGGGCACGCCAAGGCTGACCGAAACAGCCCAACAACCCCCATGCTTGAAGCAACTCGGAAGACACAGCCGAGCCAGCCGGGGGCAGGCCTTTACCGAATGGAAAATGAATTTGGGCATGTCGGAACGAGACTAGGAGGCTCCGAACCAAACCTCCAGTGACTGCATCGCTTTGCTTACCTGGCCGAGGGTTTCGGGGTCCAGGGATTTTTTCTTTTCGTTAATTAATCCGAAGGTCATCACGAGTCCCGACCACGTCCACGGTGTCACGAAATGTCCAAAAACTCAAGCCTCGTGCCACAGCACTGCCTGGCCTACTTGCCCGCAATGTTGCAGTGCCTGCAAAACCCCAACATCTACCGACATAGCTGCACAAATTCATGCGTGTATCTCCCATCTAAGACCGTCTGTCTATCTTTACCATATGTCTCGTTAACCAACTTGAACAAACGGCTTTTGAAAGCTCAGGCTGCCTTGGCTTGACGCACGAAACACCGACAAGGCTTCACGTGGGAAGCATGGGAGCTGCAAACATCTTCCAGCGAAACCTTGGACCTGACTCCCTCCGGGGACGTGGCTCTGACACTGCCATGTCCAGAAAGCCCCTCGGCAAATGTCGATGCTCAGGAATGTGCTCGCAGGGCAGTCTGCACTGATCAACCATCATGCAGATGGTCTGGCGGGCCACTTTTCGCGGCTGCAAAGAATTTGTCTCTTTGCTGGGAGGCTCGTCTGCCTGATCGGTCCTACAAGAATGGCTCAAGGAGCCTTCGAACCTCAGATGAGCAAAGATTAACATCAGCAGGCGCGCAGGGTCACTCAGCTCCTGAGCCCAACGTACACCGCGAGCTTTCTAAAGGCAGCTCGGAGACTGATTAGTGGCTGCTCCTCCCCATCTTCTTCCGGATCCAGCTTTAGAGGGAACTCGGTTGATTGCTCGTGGGCAGGCTGCGTCGATCCCCGTGTGAAACACGCAACACCTAAACACTTCTCCAAGACACGAGGAGCACAAAGTTGAGCAAATAGCCGCCTCTCTGGCTTTGTTGAACCGAGAGCACAACACCAAAAGTTTTACAGATGCCATTTCCGAGGAGCTTGGCTTGCGGCCCCTTACGCTTAGTTGATTTTTCTTGCTCACACACATGCGTCTGTGTGTGTGTGTATGTAAATACATACACACACACATATATATATATATACATGTCTAACTAAAAAAATGTGTGTGTATATATATATATATGCGCAGCGCAATGTATATGACGAACAGAATAAAACAAGAAGATTCATACATGTGCAGATAAGGATGTGCATGCGTGTGTGTGGACCTGTGTATGCATATATACACACACACGCACATGTTCAAATGTAGTTTCTGCAATGGTAGGTGTGCATGTAACACATACACACACACACACAAACAGAGATTCATATTGGGTGACACGGAGAGTCAACCGGCTGCCTGCAAGAACGAGGAAGAACGGCTCCCAGCCTTGGCTTTTTGTTGCTTTGAGAGCTACCGGAGGCTTTGGTCGCCCCCTCCCCCCCTCGGCCCAAAACAAAAGAAGAGGAATGGATGTATGGCTTTTTGGTATGGTTTAAGGTAGAGATTCTAGAATCATAAAGGGTACAAGTTCTGAACTCAGGAAGTTATTGTAGGATGATGAAGACATAAACCCTTAATTGAGGAGCTCTTTCTACGATTACAAAGGTTAACTCTTGCATAAAAAAGCACACGTTACATGATGAAAGGATAGCTCTTAATTGCGGAGTATTTTTGGATGATAAAGGGTCCCTACACAAACCTTTTTTTTATCGAATTGCTTGCACGATTGACGGTAGATTCCTGAACTCCCGGGGTGTTGGAGCCTCCACGCTACCATCCCCTCTGTACTTGTGCAGAAGACCTACGGCACGCTTTCACCCGGTAAGCGGTTGGACAACACCTTCTAGAACAAGATGGGCATGGCTGTGCGGCTAAAGTGCTATGGAAGATGTTTTGGAGCATCTCGAAGATCAAAGGCGCTACGATGCCACCAACGCGACCGGCTGCTTGGCACGCAGCCTCAAAGGACGACGGATCCGACTGAAGGGAAAAAGGTGATGCGCAACTGCCGAGAATCAAGGCACACGTGATGTCATGTTAACCAACAGCGAGCTTCGCCACTGTGCCCGAAAACGAATGCTAAACCATAAGGGTGCAGATGGGATGTTGGAGAGAAACTCAAATGTCGAAAGAGATACAGATACCGCAATGCCTGAGCTGGATCGTGCCAACCTGTCCACGAGCCGGGCCACAACCCCAGTGGTTCGAGCAGCGCATGGAAACGCTGTCGATGCCAAGGTGTAGGCGGCTACCTTGTTTGGGGTTTGTCAACCAGCCGACTGTGCTTTCGCAGGGGTGGTCATAATTACATAATTGTTGCACTCCAGTGCACTCGCGGTGGCGTGGGCTGGGGCATCACAGCATGTCACTTTGAAACAACGTGGATATTTGCAGTTCAGCTGCGAACGTGATACTGATGGTTGTTTTGATGCCTGGCCCCCGTCCCTCCGTCCCTCCCCGCAATGCATGGTCGAAGCTCCGGCCATGTCCGGCCTAGATAGCCGGCTTGAAGCAGGAGACCTGTTTCTGCGGCTGTGCCGAGCAGCATGGCGTCATGGCAGGTCCACAGCGTCTAAATGGAAAGCCAAGTCTCTATAGAGAATGCCTTCACCGTTGGCTCCAATGACCAAAGCCAACAGAGAGAGTGAGGAGAGCGACGAGCACCAGAGCATAACGGTCTGCCAGCCAGCGTGAATTTTTGCAAAATGACAGGGAAGGAGTGTACGTGTGTCGGAGCTACCGAGCTTGTACAGTAGGACATAGACTTCTAGCGACACTGATAGCACCACGTTGCATGATGTAATAAAGCCAACCCGTGCCTCCCAAAAACTCTTCTGGGTGTCTGTTTGCTCGAGCTTACGGCGCTTTAGTTTGGGGCTGCTTGCTAGCAGCCTGTCTACGTGCTTGGATTCTGGCATCCGGCGCTGACAACTAGGTCCAGTAAAGTGTGCGATTCCCCCTCGTAATCTCAGCACATGGTGACTCTGCGGCCCTGTGCTGCGAAGTACCATTCGTTGGCTTCTGCTCTTCTCCGAAGTGGCCATCTTTGAAGCAACATGTGCAGGAGCCCGTAAATCCACTACATGTGTTGGCTTCTGGGGCGTGCTGCGGTGATCCTTTGCCGCCCTGGCCTATCCACGACCCTTTGGCCCGAAACCCTCGGACCCTTTTTTGCATCCAGGCCTCCTGCAGGTGTTGCCGGGTAATGCTTTGGTACCACGTACCGAAAACCCCCTTCTCCCTAACCCCCCAAAACAACACCCTAAACCCTATGCTTTTCTGCCGGCCTTGCCAGTGACAAACCGCTCCATAATCGGAGCGCCGAAGAACCCCGGCCACTCGACCATGGCCCCAATCTGAGTGCGGTGTGTGGTCTTTGACGGGTTCTATATGTAAGCGCTTTAAGCTTCTTATTGCAGACGGGGGGGGGTCTAAACAGGTGTGATGCGGATTATACGGGCTCTATATATGGACTCTTAAGACTGTATGCAGTTTTCCAGGGGTCTATGTATTTCCTATCCGGGCTGTATACGGCTTTATATCGGTTTGTGATCTGGCAAACCTGGCTGGGACAACACCCATGAGGGCGGGGCCATCAGGACCACCGCTGGGCTGTAGCTTGTCTTGTTCGTCTCTGTGAAGACCTTGACTGAGGGGGGTTCGGCTAGTTGACGACAAGAACTCTTCATATGCACATGCAGTCTTAGGCCAGAGCTTGTGGAAACGCATAAAGGCTTCCTTGGCTCCAGCTCTGCATCCAGCATCTTTCAGTTTCGAAGGCATACCATCCAAAGGAAGTGCAACTTGCATGCTAGCCAAGATGCCGTAGAAAACCAAGTTGAGCATTAAGCAACTGAACATCATAGTGAAGGTAGTAAAGATCCTTGGATCTGGAGAACGTCCTGTCGGAGCTTTACTGCATTCGTTTTCAAGACGCTGCTATACGAGGCCCGGGTTTGGGCCACCCTCAGTGAAATCCCAAACCATGCCGAGCAGCAAGGATCGTGAGAATATTGTGGCCACATGGTCTCTCACGGACTTTGGTGTCCTTTGGCATGCAAAGGGCAAGGGTGCCAACGGCTCACTATCGGTCAGATATTGGCGTGGCAGCTTCTGCGGCCAAGGCTCTGCGCGGCCAGTGACGTCTCATACTCGCACGAGACGTCGTGAGCACCGTTCCGATCCCTCTGCACGACAGACACTGCATTCCGCATGGCGACTGAACGAATGGTCAGCATCATCGCTACAAATATCATCGTTACCATCATCCCCATCACCTTCCAGAGCCCTCTGCTCGGAACTGTTTGCCATGCAAGCTTGCCTTGCAAGCACTTAGACATGTGTCCGTGCTTCGGAAAGCGAGTGAAAGAGAATGCTCCTTCACGGTGTGAGTTGAAGGTAAGGACGCCCGACTTTCACATGTGATGGGTCAAACAAAGCTGCAGCCCGGATGCTTCAGTGACTGGAGGGCTGCCAACGCCTCCTGGCGATATCCATTTTCGTCAAGATACGCTGGGGACTCCTGAACGGAGCACATCACACAGGATCGCAGCAAGCTCAACGCTGAAGTGATTTGCAGCCAGGGTTCGTCCAGGAAGAAGTAAGCCAAGACAAAACCAACAATCGAGGGAACCGCTCCCACCATGCATAGCCAACCTTGTAGTGTGGTCAAGTCTCCGTGTCAGCCGCTTGGCCATGCTTTAACCCATCCTGCTTTGCGCTTGGGGACTTGCCCTTGCGGCCGTAGGTAGTCGTGGGGCTTCTGTCTCTGGCATCCGGTAGTCCAGTGGTGATGTGGGCAGTCACCCGCAGACGGAACGGTTTCAGTTGACTCGGCGCCTTCCCTGTCTCTGTCCCTCAGGGCTGCCAACGCCCGATTTTTCTCATGTGGTGGTGTTCCCTGGAATTAAACTATCTGTGTGATTTTGACGTTATGCCATTCGGAAGCCATGGAAAGGGCTTGGCCATGAATCCACAAAGGGCTCTACAAGAGTCCAATTGCGACTCAAGGAGCGCCAATCCAGGGATTTCATCATTGGATCGTCTAACCTGGGAGCTTCGGGGTTCTTATAGGGGGCCTCCGTGTGCTAAGGATCCGATGCTTTACTAAACCAGACCGGCACTCCAAAGACCGGAACTTCAGCCAGGTGGCCATATGAGCCATGCAGCATAAAGCTCACCGGCACAGAACCTCAGGTAAACGAAGGAGAGGTCTTCAGGCACTAGCACGGATGGAAGCATGTCTGAAACCCAACGAGAGCAAAAGCTCCTAAAACTACTGAACCACTGGACTCAAGTCTAGCCCGACGATCCCTAAACCCTACAGTTCATTCAGTCACCATCACGATCTGCGAAAGCACGAACTTCCGAAAGTTACCGAACCGCCCGACATGGATAACTCCATGACGATCCAACCAAGCCACAAAGCCATGGCCTGGGCCATCAAAAGGTAGCGCCACCTGCCAAAGGGTTTAGAGTTTTGGGTTTTGGGTTTCGGTTCAGGGGCCAAACGGAGCACGACCAGGAGAGAAAGTGGGGCTCCTGTGCTAGGTGCCCGCCTTCTTGGCGAAACTTCCTTAGGCAGACATTTCCACCGTTTGTGTGAGCGGGAGGTCCTTGCGGATCTTGTGTCTTCTTATGTCCTGGACTTCTGCATCACAGCCCCTGGCACGCCTTACACCCCCTGAACTCACTGGTTTTGAGCACACAGTTGATTGCAAAGAACTTCAAAGAACAGTAGCTTGGCACGTAATTGAGAAACGAACTTTAGAACACAGGCCCGTGCTCGGAGCCAAGCAGCGTTCAGTAGAGCGACGGTCCTGGGCCATCACCAGCAAAGGCGATCGCGAATCACAGATTTCGTCCACATCACGTGAGGCTTCGACGCTGGTTGCCCAAGGCCGAAAGCGAAGCCGACCAACATGCGCACGCCAGACATGGAGAGGAATCCTGCAAGAAGCTCTGCTGGCGCATCGACAGTCTATTTGGCAACTTGTCCTGTGGCTGATGCCGAGAGAACACTGAAGAGGGCTATTCCCAGATAGGACAGCAGGATGGGCAGCTTGCGGCCCAGTCCTGATAGATCACATGCATACACAGGACAGAGAGAACGAGAAGGCTCGTTTGGAATATCGATTGGAATGGCCGGAATTCTGGCAAGCGTCCATCGCCAAGCCTGACACAGACGCAAGTGTATTGTCAAGCATTGCCGCCGACACAACTATGCGACTTTCAGCCACGAAGCGGACCACTGCTGGTGTTGCCCAGCAGGATTCCGATAAACACAATGGAGACCACCATGCCCCGCTGGAACCCATTCAAAGACCACCTCGGATGCATGCACGAATCTTGCGCAAGACCAAGACTGGCATGCATGCATTCGGGTGGCGCCCGCGCCTGCAGAGGGGTTGTTCCGGGGTTGGTTGGCCTGGTGGGTATCGGGTAGGCAAGCGCCCAGTGATACGACTGGCTGGTTTTGCTGCCGGTCACAGTTGCAGCCGCAGGACGGCACGCTTACTGCAAAAATGAAGATATCGACTCAACGTATCATAACAGGAACACCGGGATGGTCCTTTGAGAGGCTTGCTTGAGAGGCAGAGTTCCAGAAAGAATGAGAGACCTTTGGCACGGGTTGGGGTCGGGAGGTCTTGCTGGCATGCGTGCGTGATTGTGCCGGAGCATTCAGGTATTTGGCATGGTCGCAGGTGAGAGAGCCTGGAGGCAGCAAGGAGGGACCATGCAGCCGAGCATCTCATCGGACACCTTGGATGCGTCATGGTGCAATAGAAATCTCTGCCATGCTGAGATATGAAGCACTTGTAGGTTCTGCAGGCAAGGCACTGCCTTGGTGACGGAGCCTAGTGCATCAGAGCTGCAATGTCCCGTATGATAGATGGTCTTGGACTGGCACGAAGACTTCTATGCACTACTTCTGGCGAGGCTCCGAGTATGAGGAGCTCAGAGCCATCTGCCACCCAGATGCCACCCCCAAGCAAAGCTGGAAAAGCCTGCCGACTGTGCTTGCGATGCCAATCTCAGACCACGTTCAAAAGCACCTACCTGGGCCGGCCCAATACCGATGTCTTCCACGACCTTGTGGCAGAGAAAGGCTCGCTTGCGGCGATCCTCCCTGGAAGCCTCTCTTGGGCCAGTGCCGTCTGCAGGCTCCTCTTTCCACTTTTGGCTGACCTTGTCGACGAAACATTCCGAGAAATTTTCAAAGCTGCCAAGCATCAGGTCGGGTGCTGCAGCCTAGATCTGCCTGCAAGCGATCTATGCACTACACCTTGTGACGTGTGACTACTTGGCAGATGTCTATGTGCTCGATTTGCTAAAACTGGGTACCAGAAGAACCCAAGCTCAGGCTTCGGCTCCGGAGCAGGGAGTAGCGGCATGAGTCTCTCGGGGTTTCGAGAGTGAGAGCCCCGGACTTTTCAGCCTGGGGTCAGGATCGGGTTTCCCGCTTTATGTTTCTCTCGTCCCTCCACTGGGGTCAGGGCGGTTGTCTAATGTCCCTCCAAGGCCGATGGTCACGGACCACGTGGCAGGTCAATCCTACATTATTCTGGGTGGCCTTTGAACACAAAGGCTGCAGATGGGAGATTGCAAACAGTCCGGCGTTCGATGCGACATGTCGATACAGGGTGGCACGAGACATGTAACTGCGCGAGAAATTTACGACCACAATGGCTGTGCGCAGCCGGGATCCGGGCTCGCACGCGTAAGCTGCCTCTGTGCCTGCCAAGTTGCTCTTGCGATTTACCAGCTCGTGCCTGTGTAGATCATACTTACACCTACACTTGAATGAGCACGTCCAGCACTAGTAAGCAACTCAGCACGTGCCGTTGTGTTGCTTGCCAGAACCACAAGCAAAGATGCCTGCAGCAGAATCATCCGTCACCTGATGCGCGCTCCGGCACCACTAGGGACGACTCGGGACGACAACGTGTTTGGTCAGGGACCGTCCTATGCACAGCAGCAGCACAGACCACCCTCACTCGGAGGCTTTTTCTCGCGGAGGGGGCACGAGGCGCGCCGCCGGCAATCGATTTAGGAAATTGATTTTCTGGCTTAAAAGCTGGAGGTCGAACCACAGCTTCACGCCAGCCTATGGCGGCGCTCAGCCGCAAAGCTGCCTGCCCAGAAGTGCACGGCGGGTGCATCGTGAGGGTTTGAAATCCTCACTTCTGCTTCCCAACTATCTGAGCAATCGGCACTACACCACAAGCGCCAGACTCCGCTCCATCTCGAATAAGGCCATCTTCAGATCGACCCTTGGACAAACAACGATCGTCTGCAGGTGTGAGTGAAGCAGGGCCAGAATCATGAATACTGCTTCTTCCCACTTCCATCCTCTCTGATGTGGCATGTTGTGGGCTCTCCGTGTTGGGCTTCGAAACAACGGGCAGAAACAACTGCAAATTGAGAAGGTGCTGCCGCTCCGATTGCACCAAGTTCTCCTCGCCCCTTGCAATCTTTCCAAGCCAACAGTGTCCTAAATCATCCGCCAAGTTAGAATGCGCCCTTGTTACGACTTGTGAGTTCTAGTGGCTGAACCTGCGCAAAGCGCAAACTGGAAGTCTATCTATCTACGTCTATCTACCTAAAAGTATCCATCTGTCTATCTTCGGTGTATATGTGTACGAGTAACCATGCGGTTCATTACACCCGAACGAGCTCGAGCAGTGCAAACACGCAAGCATGCATGTGCGTGTGTGTGTGTATGT